TGGATAAGACAAGTGTTGATTCTGGTATCCAATCTCACCAAAACTGAGGTAGAATCCCTACTTCTATCATTCACTCCATCTGTATCCTTGATGGTATGATGTACCTTGGTCTGTCTAATTGACATGCTGCTGGTGTGGGAAGCAAGTCCTATCATCCACAACTGCTCTTATTGACTGTCAAACCTTTTGAGAGAATTCTTCTTCAGTTAGTCTTGAGTTGAATTTTCCACTACTGGTGTTAACACCAGATTAGTTTTCTCAAGCAACACACTGGAAGTGATCACTTCATATTTCATATTAACTGCCCTCTAACACTTCCTATATCGATGTGGATGCATTGGCTTATTACTCAGACCCTTGTTACATTTATGAACTAATATCACATCTTGATCTGCCTCAGCCATTCTCATGTGGGCCTTTCCAAGAAAATGAAGCAAACCATCAAAGTTTGCCAGATTTTTCAACGACTTACAATTATGAGCTCTGAAGTTAGCTTGGTAGTTGGCTCTGTTTTCCATGTGATTGAAATAACGTAATTATTCCACCATTGGTGACTATCAATTTTCACTTCCACTAAGCTAAGATCCTTGGCTCCATGAAAAGTTCGGATGAAACAATGAGGAAATTGGTTCGGTGTCATATAACATCTTACCTAAAATTCTCAAAGAACTTATCCAAGTTATCTTTGGCCATTCCACAAAAAACTAGGGAATATATTTGCCTTATCTCAACCCTTGCATGCTGTGGTACAGTATAATTTCACACAATACAATAATGGCATTCTCTTAGTATTTGCTTTTTATAACCTCTTCCCTTCATCATTTCCATAATTAGTTCAAATACTGAATCAGGTCAATTAGCATCCACCTGGTCCTTTTGATGCAACAGTATATGCAGTCTTCTTAAATTATTGGCTCCATCCATCCACTGCAGTACTTTCTGCCATCTCACAGAAAATGGGGTAAGTACAGTGGGGCCACAGCTTCCATTCTGGTTTATTCATCTGGTGACTAATAGTACTCGATGCACCAATGCCAAATGCAGTTTTCAAACTACCATAGGCTTGTCTGCTTAACTAAACAGGTTTTCTACACTGGATGCAGACAGACTTAACATTGCAAGGACGTCTCCAAATTGGGCTTGACTGTACTAGGATTGTTTGCCTTTGCTAGCCTAATAGTGGCATCTTAGTGCCATAGCTACTTCTCTCATGTATAGTGAAAAGTGTGACCTAATAAAATGTTTTAAAGGTGTTTAATGGTTTAAAATTGGCTGGAAACATAACGGTTATTTCATGGAGAGTCCGTTTCAATGTGAGAGAGCATAATTTGCCTTAGTTCTTATGGCAATGGCCAGTTTCCCTTTGGAAGAACTCTTCCAAAGTTATTATAGATACACATTAGTTTGGCTATCAGTAGAGGAAAGTTGTAGCACAGACGAGAGCAAAGCCTAGAGCAAATATGTCTTTAAAATACAAAAAAATGATTCAACCAAGGTAAAATACCAGCACTAACTTCATAGCCACAAATATATCATTGTAACTTACTCTGTGGTATTCAATCTATGTTTGGGTGAATTATCTTCACTATGAAAAGAGGACTTGATGAACCTCTGAGTAACAGTGATAGTGAAATAAAAGATAAAAAAAGATACAATTATATAAGAAATATGGTAATATATTTATTGAGAGAAACTAAAATTGACAAAACACCTACAAAATGGTGAACTGGATGATAACATATATGACCAATGATTAGATGGAACTTTATTCAATCAATAGTAGTTTTAATTGGAACACTATATTTTCTCTGTTATGCTTTCTCTTGATGAAGAACTGAAAACTGGAAGTAGAATATTTAACCACCATTTCTCACCAATTGGAACTTACTGAATACTGTGTACAAAATTATAGATTAAACACAAAACCAAAGCAATGGTTCTTTAGCCTTCACCGATCAGAATAAAACTATTGTTAGTTAATCTCTCTGTTTTCCCAGGTGAATGTTTGGCTAACAACACAAGAATGTAAATTTCCAGATTTCTAAGACCAAACAGATCAATGAGAGCACAAAGACAGTCTGAATTTAGTGGGAACTTGAAAGTTATCGCATTTCTATGATACTGGATCAAAGCAGTCAAGAGTGGACTTTTAGTGCAAACGAAGTTTCAAATGTACCTATATATATTTATATACACATATAAATTTATGTTTATATATATATAATATTTGGAGTCAATAAAATTGTTAGATGAGTTAGTTTTAGATCAGACTGATTCATTTTTTAGACGCGGCATAGCGGCTCATACAATGGCTTTGAGTTTTATGTTTCTGTTTTTCAAGTACAAACTTTGAGATCTAATTACAGTTTTGAAATCAGGGGGTCAAACC